TATAAGAGATAATATGTTAAAAATAGAACAATTACGTACAAAAGTTACAATTATATACTAACGCAACTTTTCTCTCTCCCCCCTTCCCCCCATTACCGCAAAGCGACGCATGGTATAAGGGTGGGGTGGGGTTGTGAATTTTTTTTTTCGCAATTAGATTTTTTTGTGTTAATTCGAGCCCTGTAATAGTTGTTGTAACCAATTCAATGATTTTTTGAAATTTGTGTGTTTTTGATAAAGCTGTCAGTTCATATTGCATTCTCAGCATTTTTGAATATTTGAATAATACTTACAATATCTTCTAGAATAATACTGCTAGAATTTTCCAGAATATTCCAGACCTTTTTAGAATGTTCTCAAACTGTCCAGTAGTAATCATAGAAATACATAAGCACAGATGACTCGAACATTTCAGTTTGTGTAATTGGTGAATAAATGAATATTTTAAAAGCAATAACTTATTGACATCAAAAAGTTACTTGTATCCAGCAGATGCATTTTGCTGTGTGTGGAGGACACAAGTAAAAAAGTATTTTGCAGAAACAAGTTGTGTGAGGCTTACAAGAAATACTTGGGTATGACTGTTAGGCATCAGGATAAGTCTTGGGCACTACATTTTACATGTGAATATTGCAAGAGGACTCTTGAACAGTTAAGCTGGGTCACATTTGCTTTTGTTTTATTCCCATATGGACCATTTTGGCCAATTTTTAAAAATTTTTAAACTTAACTAGGGGTGGCGCAATTTTGAGCAATAAATGTTGTTGCAATGGAAGAAACTAGAAATAATGTAAAATTTAGTTTCTTCAACAAGAAAATTGTTACAAAACAAAAACGAAATAAAATATCATGACTAATAGAGGTTCTAGTTATTCTGAACTTAATTCACATATTGTAATGTAATGCATTGTTTATTTCAAGGCTTTTTTCTACAGACACTTTGTTAGCTCTGGAAAGACTTTCTGATGAGTGCTGATAACCTTCAAAAGGTATTGCTTTTGCTTTTCGTCTTTCGTTATCGAAGAGTTGAAGGTCTGGATTAAAGCAATTTCTCTCTCCGCACAGTCATTAACTACTTTCATTTGCCTGACAGTTTCCCTGAACTAAATATAAATTGGATCCATTAGTCAAAGGTCGGGTGACATCGAGAAAAAAACTTGAGCCTTCTCTGCTCTGTTGTCGATGAAAAGGTTGAAAAGATGATATGTTCGGCTTGTAATGTATGATTCCAATGGGTTTTCCAACTTGAATGTTTTGCATTCAATTCTCTTTGGTGACGTTTTCTTTTTGGCACGTTTAAGATTCTGAACCATGGCGGCTTTTGTATGAACATAAACGCAGGGGTCGAAAAAAGCCGAGCCAATCAAATGTTCTGAAAAATACCATAGGTGTCTTTTAAAGGCTGTCATTGCTGCATCTCTAACAACATTATTGCAGGTATAATCATTCAAAAGTCTCAACAGTCTCAAGTTATTATATGGGGCTCTTTCTGCCAAGCAAGCTTCATGCCAAAACTTTCCATAGGCTAGAGCAACAAATAGGCTGATGTCAGTCGAAGCTTTTCTTTCATGAGCAGTGAGAGTCACTTGATTCTTGAAAAGAAAGATTTTGATGGAATAGGTGCCCTTCACCATCCACCTGGCGTGGTGCATGGCTCCAGGTGCTCGAAATCGCACTTCTTCTTTTGGGCAACCACCAAGAAAGATGAGGCACAATTGTAGAAACTCGCAATAGTCTTGGCGTTGGTGATGGCTTTTTACAGCTTCTTTGTAGAATGCAACCATTTCATCGCAGAGATCAGTCATGGATTCACTGAAGATCGTTTCATCAGCAGCATCATATTTTCTTTGGTCAAATGTTGGCCATTCTTTTTGAAATCGTTTGTATAATCCTACATCAGGTCAAGTGGAAGTTCCAAGATTTGTGGGTGCAAATACGCTGGAAAGTATAACTTCAAAAACATGGTGGCGGCATGATATCCACACAAGGTCTTTCTTGTGAGTTTTTTCAATAATTGTGCTAGCTCCAGGTTTCAAGCCAGTGTTTGAGGCTGTTGTATCGAACACAATCCCACGTATTTTGTCTTTGAGATGCCAATTATCAAATAGTTCAAGGCAGGCACTAGCTTGCTCCTCACCTGTTCCCCATAAGATTTTGGGAACCCTAACTTTTCTTCTCTAGTTCCAGAAACTAAGATTGCAGTTCTGTCTAGCTTTACATTTGTCTGGACAAAATCTGGTAAGAGTTTTCCATCCCAGTGCAACAGAAGTGGTAGAGTCTAATACGATTTTTAGTCTTTGACTATCTTGGACTTGCGTGTATCCATTGTAGTATAATGGATAGCGCTGCAAGAAACTGGAATGCTATCCAGATCATGTCCAAGGGCTTGAGCAGCTGCAGCAATAACATAAGTAGCTTACCGATCACTAATGTTAATGTGGTTCAAGTCTGGAGTTAGAATGTTATTCCTTGCTCTTTTCGGAGCTGAGTGAGGTAGCCTTATGGAAATGCTGAAAAGTTCATCATCAGATACAAACTCAGTTTCAGAAATGGAAGAGCTGAAGAATGTTCTGACAGTAGAGTTAAAGCAACCAGTTCTTGGTTTTTCCTAGCATCTTCACCATCCCTTTCTTTTTGTTTCAAGTATTTTTCTGCTTGATTAATTTTTCAAGATTTCTGTTGGGCCAAAAGCTTATCCATACCTCCAAAACTGGAACTGGAGAGATTTTCTCGCCGAGTTACCGGAAACGCTTTGTCTTCCTCATTGTGCATTTGTAATGCATCTGATCTTGCAACATCAGAAATGTAATGTAAATCATTTTTGAAAATTTCCTCTTTCATTCTGTATCCCTTGCGACTTTTTTTTAATGACTTGTAGACATAATGAACTTCAGCAATTTCTTGGCACCATATCTAACTGGCGTATTCGGTATCCTTCCCTTTTCTCAGTAACAAAAGACGGAAAATATGGTAATGTTGGCACTTATGTTTAATGATTTCTTTTCTTCCTTGTGATAGTAGAGACAGCTTTCCAGTACTTGTTGCTTCGAAGGAAGTTTGGAGCATTCCAACTCTTTGGTTGATTTTCCAAATAACCACACACCAGCAGAACTTTTTGTTGTTGGAGTTTTTGCCATTTTTACCTAAACAATGAACCTACAATCATTTTCTAGAGTTAACCAGCTCTGTTTATGTTTAAAAAAAATGAATGATTGAAATAACCTAGTACTACTAGTCAACTACAGAATAATAATTATAGTTTAATAATAACAATTTTAGTTTGAATAAATATTACTGAATATAAATATTACTGAATCTGTCTCATTTTTGGCTTAAGGACTCCTCTCATGTATAGAAACAAATGCAATAATGACCTAAATTGATATTATAAAAAAAAATTTAATACAGTCACTTGGACCACTCTAATATACTTATATATTGGTGTACTATAGGAAAATATGTTATGTTAATATTATATTCTGATATATAATATTAATATATAACAAGTTTTCTGATATTCAGGCTTAATCAGTGGAATTTGTTGAATAAAAATGTATGAGTCACAAATCAGAGAACATGTCATTAACACTATATATATATATATATATATATATATATATATATATATATATATATATATATATATATATATATATATATATATATATATATATATATATATATATATATATATATATATATATATATATATATATATATATATATATATATATATATATATATATATATATATATATATATATATATAATATATATGTATATATATGTATATATATATATATATATATATATATATATATATATATATATATATATATATATATATATATATATATATATATATATATATATGTATATATATATATGTATATATATATATATATATATATTTTTTACTATAAATATAAAGTTTATTTTTTTAGTTTTATTAGTTACTACTAATACACAAAGGATGCGAATCACAGAGTTTTTTCTTATAGCAGATTATTAATCCACCAACATGTTTAGAGCTTCTGGACACCAGAGACCATAAAAAAAAGAAAGTTATAAAGACGGAGTCCTTTTGGGACTCCGCATCCCTGCTAATATATTTAACTTTAAATAAAACTAGTTTTATTTTTTTATGTCAAAAAGCCATATAAAATAAAAATAAATTAATATTGCTCTAAATGTTAAATAGAATAATTGTAAAAAGCTAGGTTGTTCACAACTATAACATCACAAGCTGGATAAAAAAATGTGGTTTCAAATACAAATGAAAAAAAAAATTTGGTTAATAAAGTGGTTAATAAAGTTAATAATATGGTTAAATAAAGTGAAAAATAAAGATCTTAAGCTGAGATAAACTGATTTAATGTTTTGTGTCATTTTGTAGACATGTACATCTTACTGTAAAAGTGCAATGAAAAATGATGTCATGAAAAAAATTTCCAGAGGATTTAAACATTGTATCTAGTGATTACAGCTTTGCACCATATCTATTCATTCATCCATTCATTAATGTGTCATTGCAACAAAACTTTGATGAATTACTAAGCAATTGGGCAAAAAAAAGACATTTAATATGGTACAAGACAAAAAGTTCTGTTGTGGCCTCCTCTCCTGATTCCTAAGCTAAGGAGAGCAGGACAAAATGTGGCAATAGAGAACTATTAAACTACCAAATTATTTTCTAAAATACCTCTTATAAGTGCTTTTTCACTTACACTTGTACACTTGTTTTTGTATACACTTGTAAAGTATTGATACTAATTTTTTGCCTAAATTTTTTTTTTTTTTTTTTTCTTGCAAAAAAACTTTCAGAACAACAACTTTCAAAACAAATCATCTGTAAGTGATTAACTCGATATAAACTGTTAGCTAGAAGTTTTCAGTTTCATTTAGTTTAATAAAAAAAAAAAAAAATACGAAAAAAATTTTATTTTATCAAATTTTACTAAGTTACATAAGTTTCAGGTTTGTTAAAATGTTTTCTTTAGATTTGTGATTTTGGATTAGCTCGTGTTGCAGATCCTGAACATGACCACACTGGCATGCTTACTGAATATGTTGCAACAAGATGGTATAGAGCACCTGAAATTATGTTAAATTCCAAAGGTTATACAAAATCCATAGACATATGGAGTGTTGGGTGCATTCTTGCTGAGATGTTATCCAATAGGCCACTATTTCCTGGAAAACATTGTATCTTTTTTAAAATTAAATTATAATATTAAATTAAATTTTTTTTAATATTAAAATTATAATTAATTAGTTGTATTTGGTACAGTCTATTTAGTCAGTCAGAGTACAGTCAGTTTATTTTGAGTCAGAATTAGGAAAAAAAATGTGTGAAAAAAATTAATGTAAAATTATTGATGGTGCTTAATGATAAGTAATAATGAGAATTATATTGCTTGACCATGTTTTATGTTTATAAAACCATGATTTTAGAAAAAAATTGTGACAAAATATAAGCAGTGTATTTATCAATAACATGCAATTTGATTTTAGGACAGGGAATGGAGTAAATGTTGCGGTATTTATTGGAAGGAAAGTCAAAGAAAGATTTTTAAAAAAGAAAAAATACCTGTATATGACATGTAGATGCTGAAAAAACCTTTATCAGAGTACCAAAAGAAATAGTTTGGCTGGTTTTTGAGGTTTTGAAATGGTTTTTGAGGTTTTCAGGTGATTGAAGAATAGTAACCATGACAACTTTTGTGTTATTCGAAACTTTTGTTGTGATAACACAACGCATGCATCAAGGTCAACTGTATAATTCTTTGCTTTATTGTTTTAGAATTTCTCTAGAGTGTTTTTTATTGGTTTACTAAATATGCAGATGATTTATGCTTGATTGCAGAAACAAAAAAAGGGATTAGTTTAAGCAAAAATAATTTTAAAAAGTTATGGGTTGTAAAGTAAAGATTAGGCAAGTAGAAAATGTTGGAAATCGGCCATATGGAGTGTGTAGGAAAGAACTTCTAATCTAATTCTTTTGCTTGTAAAATTTTTATAAGATGTAATTATAGAATGCTCTTATTTGGTTTTGAATGTAAAAAATACTTTTGTAAAAATACTTTTGAACACAGAAAATTCATAAAGAGATAGGTAAGTTTTTTACTCTTGGAAATATGAATTACTTGGTGGGTCTGAAGAGGTATCAAGGGCAGGAGTCTAGTGTCCCTGGGCCAAGGTCAGAGGATTATATCTATTTCTAATAGCAAGAGGTGAATCATTTAACATTATATCAAAATTTAACATCACATGCTATTGAGAGTTTTGATGTAAAAACATAAGCAGTCAAGGTTTATTGCGTCATTGAAAAAACAAAGTAGATAAAAATCAAATTGATGTATGGTATGATTTTAAAAATTAAGGAAAGAATCTTTGACAAAGATTGGATATAGTGACTCATCTATTTGACAGTCAGTATCATGTTGAGAGTTGGTATCATGTAGAGAGTTAGTGTTTTAAGAGAAATAAGTAGAGGTAGAAGTAACCTGGCGTAAAAAATGACAACAAATGACATGAAAAAGCTTTGGTACTGAAAAAAAATGATTGAGTTACAAAGTAAATTAGGTATTGATTTTGCAGCTCAACTGTCAATGAGCTATATTATAAATTAAAAAAAAGATTGCACAATATAAGTATGTTAGTTATCTTAATGCTTAACATTACAAAGATTTGGATCAATTGAACCTTATTTTAAATGTTCTTGGCTCTCCTGATAAAGAATCATTGGAATTTATAAGAAATTTAAAGGTAGTATGTAATTTGGATTTTGAAGTACTTTTTTACTGTAAACTTTATTCACTTTTTTGTTTTATTATTTTAAAATTTTATTTGATTCAAAATTATGTGAACTTAATTAGCAACTTTAATAAAATATGTCAAATAAAATAACCTAAAAATAATAAACAATAATTAACAGTATATAAGCTTAAATTTATATATATATATATATATATATATATATATATATATATATATATATATATATATATATATATATATATGTTAAGTGTATATAAGCTAATAACAAAAAGCACAGTGGTTTCAGCACTAGCCTTAGAATTAAGAGGTCAGCGATCCTCTGATCATATATGCAGCTTTGATAAAGAAAAAAAAAACTTTGTTAAATGATTTTCTACTGTGCTTTGTGACAATACTTTCTTGGCTCTGTGACATTCTTCTTAGAGCACTTTAATAACCAAAAAAAAATTAAAGTTGAAAAATTAACTTTAATAGTAACAATTTACAACTTTTTATAAAATAAAATTATATTATAATAACTTATGCGTATTTTTTTTCTGTCTTGAATCCTTATTTTTCAAAATGTTGCATAAAAAATGTTTTAAAATATTTAATAGATTATAATAATGGCACAGCTCTCTCTATATATATATTCCTATAGTAAAGTTCTTAAAATTACTGTTTATGGTAAAAAAAAACAACACTTAACTACTCTATGACATCTAGCAAGACAAAATTAAGTACAGATTGTCAAAATGCATTAATTTTATCAAGAAAACTAATAGTGAAGGGTTAAAATAATTCTAATTATGATACCAGCATGAAACTTGGTGAAATTGCTGTCAACAACTATAGAAATTAATAGAGAAAAGGACCCCATTCATAAATGTCTTTCATTTTGAGTTACAGAGTTTTTAATTTTTAGACAAATAGACTCAAGGGACTTCATCTTATAGTGTAAATTTAGCTTTAAATAAAAGCGTAAACGATGCACATGGTTGTTCTGTAAACGTTTTATAAAAAAATATCATTATATAATTTTTTTAGGTAAGTGCAAACAGAGGGTACACAAAAAAACAACAATTTGCTTATGAGTTAGTAAATGTATCTTTCATGAAAAGTAACTTTCATAAATGTTTAAAAAAAACATGTTACTTTTTTAAGTTTTCCGGAGTTATTATAATTTAGTTATTTAATATTTTTTATTTTGTTAATTTTTTGCTTTTTCCAAGCTTTTACCAACATTACTTACCAACAAACTTTATTATGTTGGTAAAAGCTTGAACAAAAGAATTGAAAATAGCTTTATAATAAAGTTTATTATGTTGGTAAAAGCTTGAACAAAAGAATTGAAAATAGCTTTATATTAAAGTTTATTATGTTGGTAAAAGCTTGAACAAAAGAATTGAAAATAGCTTTATAATAAAGTTTATTATGTTGGTAAAAGCTTGAACAAAAGAATTGAAAATAGCTTTATAATAAAGTTTATTAATATAGTTATTTTCAGTTAATAAATTGTCTCAGTCTCAGAAGAGTTTCAAACTTGTAAAACTTGTATCTTTGGTTGGAGATTAGAAGGCAGTGGTGATGACTTAACTAAAGCTGGTATAACAAATTCTGGATAAGCTGAATCTGTGCTGACTGGTCGAAAAGTAAAATGTTCAAGGTATGTGACAAAAGTTTCATTAGCTGTGGGGTATATTCACTATTGGCTAAAGCATTCTAAAAATTATCCATGACTCCTTTTGACTTGTGGATCCATCAACAAAGAATAGCATTCACCCAATTTAATTATTAGTTTACTGCTGTGAAGTTACAACCATGAGGTTTACAATAAGTTCTGCTAAGGTTTTTTCACATAAGAAATAACAAGAAGCTCTTTTTCATTTATGGCTGTAGATCAAGCCCATTAACAAAACATCAAAATCATAAAAAAAAATTGCAACTCAATTGATGTTTTAGATAGCCAAGTGCATTGATAAAGTCTATATTGTGTGAGCCACTATTTGCTGGAGAAAAAGATAATGAAAAGAATTTTTACGAAGGTACGCCTGTCTTTGAAAGAAATTATAATGACATGTATCAGATTTTGTTGAAGTTATAAAAGGTTTTGAAAATCAATTTTTAGTAGAAGATATTCTCATACATTTATCAACAAAGGTATTACTTGACACAAAAGCTAGGCTTTTGTGTCAAGTTTTTTTCTTTCTCTGCAGAGTTGTTAGAAGGAGGAGCAATTGTTTATATATTTCATCTAGTAAATTCAAAGACTTTCAAAGAGTACTCTGAAATTGAGTTACGAGAAAAAATAAATAAAATCTCATCAAAAAAACATGAAGAAATAAAAAGGATTGACATTGTGTTTGACTATTATTTTCAATATAGTTTAAAAACCCAGAGCAGGGAGAATTGTGGGAATAGTGTGAGAGTATGTGTTTCTGATTTAACTCTCATTTGGAAAAACTGGTCACGGTTCTTACTATTAAATGTAAACAAAATGAGTTGTCTAAAATGCCTGCAATAAACTATGTATTAAGTTTTATTGCAAGCATTGGGCACCAAGTTGTCTGTATTTAAACAGTTGACACACATACTATCTCAATTTCCATTTTTAAACAATTAACTGGATAGAACTTGGAGTTTTGGCTTTCAATTCACTAATATGTGAAAAAGTAGAGGCTGTTTCATTGTAGTTTGCATTCACTGGCTGTGATATCATATCCTCATTTGCAGATCAAGGGAAAAAACTTGCATGAAAGATGTACTCTTTTAACATTTGAAAAGAGCTGTGTTTTAAGAAAGGTACATATTTTTTTAAAACCTGAATGGAATATATTTTTGAATCAAAGATAAGATCAGCCGTTATTTCGAGCGCTGATATAATTACTTATATAGTATCATTTGGGGACAACCATTAGTGCCGCAACAGATTTTACCATAAGATACCAGAGGGTCACTGCTTCCTCCTCGCACCTTTTTCTGAAGGACTTTTTTTATTATTATTTTTTTTAATGTTTTAGAAATTTCTAGATAGATGACTTTTTTTAGACATTGAAGGTTGTGCTCCTTCACTTCAAAACCCGTGTCGTAGGCCCTGGCAAATGGCAAACAGAGCTATTCTTCAGCTATTCAGCTAGGTGTTCTTGTCAGTATTAAAGTAAAAATGAACAAATCTTATTATTATGTTTTTACTCAATTTTGAAATAAATTAACTTTATTTCTTTGAAATATATATATTTGAAATATAAATATAATTTTTTTTTATGCTTTTAACCATATTTTAATTAGTAATGTGGTGTAGCTGTTTATTTTAAATTATTTCTTCTTTAAATTCTGCTCTTTATGCAACTTCATATCATCGGTTTAGAAGTATATATAGTTTTTACTGCCAACTCAATTGGGGATTGCCCCAGGACCTAAATAATATTTTTAGAATAGGGTCTTTTTTTTTGAATTCTTTTAATTCACAGGCAACTTTCTGAAAGTTTCAAGCTGGTATCACAATTTGAACTATTTTACTAAATTTTTACTCTTATTCCCCCCATTACAATTCAATTTATTATTTTTAAAAAAACGCAAATTACAAGACTAGAACGTTTTTAAAAACATTCTGAATGTTTTTATTTATTTTTTTCTGTAAAAATAAACATGAAATATACACACACACACACACACACACACACACACACACACACACACACACACACACACACACACACACACACACACACATATATTATATATATATATATATATGTATAGGTATATGTATATATATATATATATGCATATATATATATATAAAAGCTCTTCTTAAACGAACATGGTGAGCCATGTGAGCTGCTCTTTTAAACTGTTTTTTACAGGAGCTTTTGATTTTTTCACAAGCTGTCTGTTTATTTATATAAAAATTGCTTATTAAATACAAAATTTGGTTATGCACTCGTTACAAGCATATGTTTGTAACGTTAATGTTACTGTAATACACATAAGAGACATCATTTATTGCATCGTGGAAAAGTTCTTTAGACCGTGCCTGTTTATTATCCACTTAATTAAATTTTTTTGACTTAGCGTTTTTTATTTTAGTTACAATGATAATTATACTTTTAAAGGGAAAAAAAAAACTTTTGCGAGAGCTGTAAATTGCTCCCGTAAACCATTTTAGGGGAGTGTGGGCGAGAGCTAAAGCTCTCGCTTCCCGCCGAGGCCTGCATGTATATATATGTATATACTTTATTTTTATTTTTTGTCACTACAGGCTAAAAGTTATTTGCAAGGTTTACCAATTAAAGAGAGAACACCGTGGAAGACTTTGTTTCCTGAAGCAGACCCTAAAGGTTTGATATATTTATAATTGCGTTTGCAAGAGTTTTTAGCATTACCAAATGTAACAAAAAAAATTTAACTAAAAATTGCTATTTCTTTACTCCTAAATTTTCTATTTGACTTGTGCAACAACACTTGTAGCAACAACACTTGTAGCAACAATACTTGTAGCAACCTCCTCTGAAATCTGAATATTTTTTTTTTAAATGATAATGATTTTAAATGAAAATTGAGACACTTGAAAAATTTTAAATAAAAATTTCTTGTGTAACATGATTAATATATTATCAAGATTACCATACCATGTGATTAAAACTAATATACCATGTGGTTAAGAGTCATTAATGAATATTATATATGGTTATAAATTTTTTTTTCCTTTTTTTTTTTTGTTTGTTTTGTTTTTTACATACAGTAAGAGAAATGCAGGAAATGATTTTTTGATCTTTCAAAATAAATTTTTTCTGATTAAGATCATTATGGTCAGAGTCAGAATGAAAAAAGAAATTGTGAGTGTAAAATTTGCTCCTCAAAAAAAAGCCCCTTAATCTAGTTCTCTATCATGTTTTTGTTATACTGTACTTGATAATAATGTTAACATATTTTGATGAAAGCACTTAGCTTGCTCCTCTGAGTAAGCTTCCATGTTTTTAAACATTTCAAGATGAACATCAAAGACTTGTTATTTTCTTACTCCTTATTCACTAGATCACTTATTTGCCTTATTTGGTTCTTATTGCCTTGAGCTACAAAGCATTTAAGCAAGTGATATGGCTTAGATATAAACACTTAGATATTGGACTTGCAAACATAATTTTTGTTTTTATAAAACAGTTTATTTAAAACACATTAAAAAAATAAAGAAAATTTTAACTTTGTTTTTCTAAAAAAGAGCTTGTTTCAAAATTTAAAATGTATTAGTACTGAATTTACTGAAAGTTTCAATTAAAGTTGTTGAAGTATTTTTATCAACAAATTTAAACTGTTTATTAGTATCATACAGTTATAACTCATATGACACTGTTTTGTTTATAAAATAAGTATGTATATTTGGTTTATAATGTTGACCTAAAACAGAAACCAAGTTAAAAAGTCTTGAGCAACCATTGAAAATAATTTTTGAAATCAAGTGTATTTTTATTATTTTAAACAGGATAACAAATAAAAAATGTTTTCTCTTTTTATACAATTGTAAAATTTACAATTTACATTAGTGAAATATACAGTTTTGGTAGAAGCCTTTCGTGGGACTTGTGAACACCTTTTTAATGAATGAATGAATGAAAAAAAATTTAAATATAATAATAATTTTTAACCTAGTATATAGTAAAAAAAATAAAAAACTATTCTCTCACATATAAATAAGCAAAATAAATGGTGGTGGATCATTTTGGTAAAAATAATTTTGCTAACATCATTTCTAAATCTTCACATAGTAAAAAATGTAATAATATTGAGGTCATGAGACCTTGCAAGTCATCATCATAAAACTTTAAATTTGTTAAAGCGAGCTGTATATACAAAGAATTCTTTATTTTCTTTTATTTTTGTATATATATAAGGGGCTATTCTAGACCGTTTTTAATAGCGTCAACCGTATTTGGGCGCCAATTCAGGCACTGCCCAAATTAAAAATTGAGGACTTTTTTTTTTTTAATTTGCTTTTTTATGGCAAATATAAAACTAAAATTTCTTTCAAGCACCAAAAATTTAAATATTTTCATAAACAAAACATATTTTTTAATTCATTTTTTTATTACCATTTTATTAATAAAAAACAATAAATGTTTCGACTAATACTAGTCATCTTCAGTTAAAATTAAATATTTAAAGTTTCTTTAAATACTTATAAAGGTGTTAAAAAAGAACAATACAAAATGTTATTATTCTTGTACAAACTAATAATAATATAATTACAAAAATATAATAAAATCAATTAAAAAGTTTATCATGTCATACTAAAGAAATAGGAAATAACAAAAGAATAGGTTAAAAAGATACACAACATGTAAAAAATAGCAGCTAAACAGAAAGTGTCATTTGTACATGGTTAAGCTGTTTATTCATGCCAGGTTTTAAGCATTCTATGAACATACTTTCTTTAAGTTTTAACTCAAATTTGTTAGAAAAACAGAAAGTCACTTGTTTGCATGAAACTATTTTCATTAGTATGGAGATGTTTATAGATATGTTTGCATGAAACAATTTTCATTAGTATGGAGATGTTTATAGACTTTTGGTCCTTCTTGTAATGTTCAGATATTCGAGTCTTGAGTTGGCAAGTAGTTTCTCCTATATAACCAGAGTTACATCCTGCACATACGAAAGAAAAGAATTTAGAAATTTTCAGTGAGGTAAATAACAATTAAATATTTGCTGAATGGCAATATCTTTTAGCAATTGAATTCAAAAATTGAAGTCTTTTTTTAGTTGAATCAGATATTTTTTTCGAAAAATGGCAGTTTAAAATAAGACTAAAAGATTCTCTAAATTTTGGTTGTGGTGGAGTATTTGAATTAATCTTGTTTAAATAGGAGTCATATGTTTTTGAAATAAGCCAAGATGGGTACATGTTTTTTTGAAATACTTTAAAGAGGTCGTTAATCGTTAAGAGTGTAATCCAAGTTTAGTTTACTATCAATTTTAAAGGTTCTATCAATTAAGCATTTGATTAGATTGACTGTATAAAAATGGAGTGAAACTATAAAAATTAGTCTGAAGACCAGAATAAGTTTTTTATGAAAAATGGTAGTGGTAACTAAAGAATTAGTTTTGTGTAGAGTTATGTCTAAAAAAGATATTTTTGAGTTTACTTCTTATTCCATAGTAAAAGAAATAGAGTTGTGTCTACTATTTATATATCTAAGAAAAAGATGTGCCTCATTTTCTGACTGAAAAGCAGCGCAAATGTCATCAACATATCTTTATTTGAAAACTGGTTTAACATAATTGAAATTTTTAATCCATTCATTTTCAAAATGACCCATGAACAAATTGGTAAGAACAGGTACCGGAGGAGAACCCATTGCTACACCATCGACTTGATCATAAGTTTGTCTTTTAAAAAGAAAAGCTGTTAGCAATGTGGCAAATTGGAATAGTTTTTTAAAATCAGTTTTAGTAATTTTAATGATTTTGATATGAAGCAAAATTAACTTGACTGCAATTTCAATAGATTCTTGAAGCGGAACATTGGTGTATAAGCTGGTTACATTGTATAATACTAAAAAATATTTGTGGAGATTGACTTGACTTATTTCTTTAACAAAGGAAAATGAGTCTTTGGTACGAAATTCAGTGTTTATTAATGAAGATAATAAATCTCTGAGAAATTTGGCTAGTTGGTAGTTATAGGTTCCAATAGATGATACAATGGGTCTAAAGTTTATGGTAGTCTCAAAAGAATTTAATTTATGCATCTTTGCAAGTCCATAGATACGAACAGGATGGAATCCAGACGGATAAATTTTGTTATATTTAGAATCATTAAAAAGACCTTTTGCATTTAGTTTCCTCAAAAAAAATTTCAAGTTGTATTTCTCTATTTATGGTAACATCTTTCTTAAGTTGTTTGAATTTTGTTTTATCATTAATAATTTTATGAATACCATTTACATATATTTCTTTATCTAATATGACAACACTTTTACCTTAATCAGGTTTTAAAATAATAATATCTGGATTATTAGAAAGTCTTTTTAGTATTCCATGATTTTTCATAGTTTGCTGAGAAAGAGGATAATTATAAATATAAGAGATTGAAAGATGGGAAATTTTGTTTGAAGAAGATGGTTAATTTGTTCGAACAAAAAAAAGATATCAGAAAAAAAGAATCTTTGTCTTGTTTTAAACTTTTTGGGAAAAATATCTGATTCAACTAAAAAAAGACTGAATTCAATTGCTAAAAGATATTGCTGTTCAGCAAATATTAAATTAGTATTTACCTCACTGAAAATTTCTAAATTCTTTTCTTCTAAAGATCCTATTCCTCTAGAGTTCAAATCGTTTGTGGTGCAAAAATTTGTATGTGCAGAATGTAACTCCAATTATATAGGCAAAACTACTCGCTATCTCAAGACCCAGATATCTGAACATTAAAAGAGGGTCAAAAAGTCTCATATCTATAAACCTCTTCATGCTAATGAAAATTGTTTCATGCAAACAAGTGATAAGTGTTTTTCTGTTTTAGATTCAACATCTAACAAATTCGAGTTAAAACTTAAAGAAAGTATGTTTATAGAATGCTTAAAACCTGGCATGAATAAACAGGTTAACCATTTACAAATGACACTTTCTGTTTAGCTGCTATTTTTTACATGTTGTGTATCTTTTTAACCTATCCTTTTGTTATTTCCTATTTCTTTAGTATGACATGATAAACTTTTTAATTGATTTTATTGTATTTTTGTAATTATATTATTATTAGTTTGTACAAGAATAATAACATTTTGTATTGTTCTTTTTTAACACCTTTATAAGTATTTAAAGAAACTTTAAATATTTAATTTTAACTGAAGATGACTAATGTTAGTCGAAACATTTATTGTTTTTTATTAATAAAATGGTTTTAAGAATTAAAAATTCAAAACGGCTTGTTTATGAATATATATATATATATATATATATATATATATATATATATATATATATATATATATATATATATATACAGGGCCGGCGCGAGTAGGTGTCATGTGGGGGGGGGGGGGGGTGCCATTACAACTTTTGCCGACTAAAAAAAAAAAAAAAGGTCCTCGTTTTTAAAACTTTGCCGACTGTCATGACGACATTTGCCGACTGTCAAATTTATATCGAAAGGGTCCACATTTGCCGACTAACTAGGTCCAATTTGCCGACTAAGGTTCCAGTTTGCCGACTAAAAATCATTGATGGGGGGGGTGTCACACACTCCTATTGCGCCTGCCTTGTATATATAGTATCAGACAAAACAAGTGCAACCAAATAATGCTAATTTAGTTTCTTTATATAAAAGTGCTGCATTTTTTCAATTTAGAGAAATAACTATGTAACTGTTTAGAGACAACGTTCTTCAAGTTTTATTCATCACAAAATATCATTATTTGTACACAAAAATTAATAAATTAATCAAAAGTATTAAAAAAAGTTGATTTCCTTCTGGACAAAGCAAGTGCAACTCCACAAAATGTTGACCAAGCTGTGTTTTGCTATCAATATTTTGTGGCGAATCCTTTATTGTTGATCACAGTCTTGCATCTTCGAGGCATAGATTTGATCAGATGATCAATAAAACTTTGTAGAATCGCTACCCAGGTCTTTTGGATTTTTTCAAACAGTTAATCCTTATTACAAACACCTTCATAATTAATTCTGCGGTTGATCTCCCACAGGTTGTCGATAGGGTTGAGATCCGGAGATTGAGGCGCCCAATCCTTCACCGGTAGGTGGTTGTCTTGAAACCGTTGCTTGACTACTTTTGCAGTGTGTTTCGAATTGTTGTCTTGCTGAAAAACCCATTTTATTGGCATATTCCATTCAGCATGAGGTAACATAACATCTTTCAGGATATTTTTATACATGAAACAGTCCATTATTCCATCGATTGTATTGTATGATGTATTGGACCTAGACTGTTAGCAGAAAAACACCCCCAGACCATTACATTGCCTTCACCATGCTACACGGTTTTATAGCAGTAACGTAAATCGAAGCATTTTCCGGCCGGTCGATGTACATGGCAAATGCCATCGCTTTCAATGATGTTGAACTTCGATTCATCACTGAACAGGACAGTTCGCCATTTCTGCACATTTCAGTTAATATGAGGTGTAGCTAACAGGAGTTTTTTCTTCTGGTTCTTTAGTGAAATCAGCGGTTTCTTTGCAGGGCATAGAGAAAACAATCCGGTTTCAACAGCACGTCGTCTGATTGTTCGATCCGATACAGGCAGCTCTAATTGCTTTTGTATCTCGACTGATGATATCCAGGGATCCTTCTTGACGAATCTGACAATCATTTACCTTATTTTGCTGCCAACTTCCCCGTAGAATGATATTTGATAGTCTTGATACGGTCCATTTTTTCACGCAATATTTATTACAAACACTTTTTTTGTGACATTCCACTTATGTATTCGCCAATAATTTTCTTTCTTCGTTCCAATCCAAGACTGTCAGGTGCCATTTTTGCATTTGAAGTCATAAAAATAATAAAAATAAATAATCACGCTTCTTAAGGCTTACCGTGTTACATTTACCTTGTGATGATACAATAATGCTCTGTGGAACACAACGTCTTGGTTAGATGTGGACTGTATTGATGTAATGAAATACTTGTTGTATTTCACTTCTTGTATTGATGCTCTTTGATAAAACACTTTGATAAAACTCACTTCGATAAACTGTCTTAATAATACTGACTGATTGACTTCCATATTCTGACTAAATTACATGTTGGTTTACATGTCTCTTATATAGTAAAATGAACCTGTGTGAACTTGTTCTGGAAGATTCTAGATGCTTCTTTTCGATGCTTCTGGATGCGTCTGAATGTTTCTGGATGCTTTTAGATGCTTCCAGATGCTTCTTCTGGAAACCTCGGGAAGCTTCTGCATGCTTCTTGAAACTTCTTGATACTTCCTTTAATTATTAAAAAACTTCTTTGATGTTGACACAGACCAGACTTAAGAAAATGAAACAAACCAAAAAGTTGCATTTGTTTTGTCCGCTGCAAAATGGCACTTATCAATGAAATTCTGCCTGTGTGCTGTCACCTGTCAGCTGATTGCTCATGTCATGGCATGCTATGACTCCAGACTTCTGAACTGTTTGCTGTGGTAGTATAGTTCGTTTCGTTTTTAAGACATGTAATATTGTTGGTTTGTTGGTTGCAAATGTTTTGTATGTATATATATATATACATATATATATATATATATATATATATATATATATATATATATATATATATATATATATATATATATATATATATATATATACATATATATATATATATATATATATATATACATATATATATATATATTTTATATATATATATATATATATATATATATATATATATATATATATATATATATATACACATATATATATATTCTTGTGTATATATATATACACATATATATATATTTATATATATATATATATATATATATATATTATATATACACATATATATATATTCTTGCGACAGAGTGCTGCTACATTGACTGACAAATAGCCTGACTCGCAGCTGAGTGCTGCTTCATCAACTGACAAATAGCCTGACTCGCAAAGAAGTGCTGCTACATCGACTGAGGGTTTGGTTTAGGCAGGCAGTCTATCAAATAATAATAATAAAAAAAAAAAATTCTGATCTTGTATTTAAATTTTTTTTTTATGTCAACAAAATATCGGAAAACTTTCATTTTAAAGATCTATTAATGTTACACAGGTGAAAACTTTCACCTGTGTAACATTCATAGATCTTCAAAAAGCTTTTGATACGGTTGATCACAACATTCTAATAAAAAAGTTAAACTACTACGGAATACGTGGTATTGCTAATCATTGGTTTTCTTCATATATTACGGATCACACTCAGTTTGTTTCAATTAATGGATTTGAATCCACACATAAAGTTATTAAATATGGCGCTCCACAAGGTTCCGTTCTTGGACCGTTGTTGTTCTTATTATATATAAATGATTTATCTTGTTCATTAAAAAATTCTATTATACATCATTATGCTGACGATACCAATCTTTTATATATCACGACTCTTTGTAAAAAAGTTAATCAAGATCTTCATCGCTTATGTTACTGGTTAAATAGTAACCGTATTTCCTTGAATGTCAATAAAATTGAATACATTATTTTTCATTCCCCTCAAAAAACTATTGATCATATTAAAATTAAAATTAACGGTAAAAAACTTTTTCCATCAAAATATATAAAGTATCATAGAATATATCTTAATGAAAACCTATTTTGGTATAATCAACTGTATCATCTAAAAAAAAAACTTACACGAGCTAACAGTATGCATTCTCTAATTCGTTAGTATGTTCCTATCCAAACTCTTCGAATGATTTATTTTTCTTTATTCTTTTCTCACCTTTGCTATTGTTGTATTGTTTGGGGTCAAAAAAGAAACTTTTTACTTAATAACATTGCTAGTTTACAATGCACATCTATAAGAATGAGATCTGATATCGATAAAAAATTTTCTGAACTAAAAATCCTAAAACTCAATAATCTTGTAAATTTTTACAATTGACTTTTTGTGTTTGACTTTCTCCAAAATAAACTACCAAGCCTTTTTCAAATTTTTTTATTACAAACGAAGTTCATAATCATCACACCAGGAATACAGAAAATAGTAAGCTATACTATTCTTTTTTCAACACAATCAAATATGGTAAGTTTTTCATAAAACAACAATGTATTTCTCAATGGAACCAGTGTATTCCTGCATTAATAAAAAAGTCTAAGAAAAAATATCCACTTGTTACGAATTTTTTACTGCTCAATAGAATTCAATTTAAAAATATATTGTTGGAGTGTATTTCTTTATATAAAGAAATACACTCCAACAATATATCCAAAAAATAGAGAGAAATTATATAATTTCTCTCTATACTGTAGTTGTCTTCCATATATAATCTCTTTAACGAACAAGTGGTTTGATTTTTATTTTATTTATTATTTACCTATCTTATATTTATTTATTATTGTGTTATTAATGTTACATTTTATGTTATTATTATATCTAATTATCATCTATGATTTGTACTTGCAATTTATATTGTATTATAATATTCTTAATATTATTGGTACTTTATTATTATTGTTATTATTTTGTATTATTACTATTATTATTAACTGTTTGCTGTGGTAGTATAGTCTGTGTGTGTATATACATAAAATTTATTTTATCAATTATAAATATATGTAGCTGATGGTACCTGTAACTAACAATACTTGTATATGTAATACCTATAATTAACAATACCTGTAACTTTTGTTAACTGTAACTAGCAATACCTTCAATTAATGTTACCTTTCACGAATAATACTTGTAACTAATATAAACCTGTAACTAACATACCTGTTACTATTGTAATTTGTAATGGTTTTTATATTAATCAAAGTTGATTGTTTAAACAAATTAACTTTAGCTTTGGATTTACTTGATAAGCTCTTAGCTTTTAATCCAAATAAACGTGTGACTGTGGAGGAAGCACTGGCACATGAATACTTAGAACAGTATTATGATCCAAATGATGAGGTTATTTTGATTTTGAACTCAAAATTTTTGATTTAGAAATTATAATGGAATTTGTTGAAATATTTAATTTTCAACTAAATTTATATAAAATCATTTTTAAGCCTGTAGCAGAAGAGCCATTTACTTTTGACACTGAGTTGGATGATCTACCTAAGGAGAAATTAAAAGGTATATTTTGTAGTTGCAAATAAATAGTTTTTAGATATTTTACAAACAATTGCATTTATTAATTTTCATTAAAATGTTTAGAAATGATATTTGAATCAACTCACATGTATGGTTCTGCTGCTCATCGTAAGTTTGTTGTTTTGTTTTTTTCTCTGAAAGTAAATATGGACTGAGGATTCGCATTTTTCAATGGCGTTTAGTTGCTTTAATTTGAGGATTCAAATTTTAAAGCGACTAGAATATATTTAAATCGGTGTTTTTTAAAGGGGTGGATTTGCTCAAAACGTTTTCAGCAAATCCACCCTTTTAAAAAATGCTGAATTTTTTGTGAATGTAATAATTTTCAAAAAATTTATATTTCTGCCTTAAATTAAACCTCTAGCTGATGCATGTACTGAAATATGCGTCCGATTGTTTTTAGTCAATGAGCTAAAAGGGGCCTTAAAGTGATCTGTGTGTTTGCATGCGTGTGTTTGTATGTATGCGCGTTAGTGACTTAGTGGTAGAGCGCTTGCTTTGTGAGCAAGAGGTGCAGAGTTCAAGTCCCACCATATTCTAGAAACCGTTGTTCTCAAAATTGTGTTTTAGAGTTACAGGACTGAGAGAGGGGCAGAAAAAAATACTCTGGAAAATTTTGTTTTCCAAGGAAAGCATCCTACGTATCATAAAATAAATCTTAAAATGATACTCATAAATGTTTGAAGTTGCTTATTTATTTTTTTTATACTTTTCTTAAGTTTTTTTTGTTTTAGCGTTCTAGTGAAGAATATTTAAAACAAGTAAGTTTTTTGTTTCATTTTTTATTTTATTTGTTTCATTCCATTTTTAGTTGTCATATGTTATAGTCATTGTACAATTAGAGTTAAAAACTGAAAACAAGTTTTTAATTTTAATTTATCTTCAATTATTAGTTATAACAAAGTTTTAACTTAATTTTAACTTAAAATTTAATCTTTATTGATGTATTTCTTATTTTTAATTGTTAAAGCTTTATTTTTAACTGTGCTAAAAAATACTCTGTCCTAAGTTTTATTTTTAACTGTGCTGATATTATATATAGTTTATATTCATCATATAAATATTGTATACAAGACATGCAATATTTTATATAAGTTATGCAATTTATAAGTGTAACATAAAATATAGATTTGGTCAAAAGAATATACAACGAAAATATTGGAGAGCTTTCCTATCATTGAATACATTCGGTCGCACTTTCAAGATGTTTTATTCGACATTTTACAAACTTTTTCTCTAAATCTTTATTCTTAACAGATATTTGTAGATATAATATGTTTATACATGTATGCTCATATGTGTGTATATATATATATATATATATATATATATATATATATATATATATATATATATATATATATATATATATATATATATATATATATATATATATATATATAAATATATATATATATATATATATATATATAAATATATATATATATATATATATATATATAAATATATATATATATATATATATATATATATATATATATATAACTTAATTATTAAGTTTATATGATCAATTTTGTTTATATATAAGGGTTATTTTTAAATGACGTGCGATAAAAACGTAGAAAGTAGTGTAGATAAGTTTCTGAAACTATTTTTGTTAAAATATTCTAAATTTAAATTAAATTTTGTATTATACTTGAGTTTCTTTTTTATATATTGGAAATGAATTAATTGTTTTGTGTGATATTTTATTATCAATTGTACAAGATTGTTTTCATTTCAAAGAGTTTTAATTACTCGATAACAACTAAAGAACTAAGAGCATTGTCATGTGATGTGTTGTCATGAGCTTTGAATTCTTATTTTACAAGTGAATATTTTGATTTGAATTTAAATTTTGACTGTTTATATTTTTTTGTTTAACGAAATGTGAATATCGAAAACTTTAATATCAAGATTAAAATATATTATAAAAAATATATATATATTGGCTCAGCTCATGTTGGAAGTCAAAACCTCTATTGCAAAACTTCTAACTTTCCCCTTTAGCCCAACTTATAAAAGAAATTTCTTTTTTTTTTATCTACTGGGACATTCTGACTAAAAAAAGTTTTTCATAATTTAAAATCTACTCATTTAATTATTTTGAATGTATTTTTAATATGAAACCACGGACCTTAGAGGTCCGTGGTTTGATGCCGGCTCTTACCTGGATGAGCAACATTGGGAAGGAAGGAGACTTGAACTTCCTAATTAAATGCTCTTCCGCGGTGATGATGAGACCAGAAAAACCTTTTTAAGCACCTAAAATCACTTATAAAAATAAAAAACTAGATTTTATTACTAAAAAAGTAAAAAAATAGTTGGTCACTAAAAGTAAAACCATGTTTAATCATCATGGTATGATGATAAAGACGAGCATCACAGTTACACTAAATGGCCAAAAACTACTATTAAAAGCACAGAGCAAAACACCTGTGTAGGGTGAAAGTATATGGTCCCTAGATTACTGGGAATCGAAAATTAAAATCAAACTATTTCGTCCGAGAAAAATGACTTTGAAATTTAGCTATACTTTTACCAAGGACGTATTAATAGATGGACGTTTAACGTATTGTTTAAAAGCCAAGATATCCGCGCTATTCATTGTTACAAATAACAATAGCAAAACAATAGAGAACTATTTTTAACTTGAGAATATTTTTACTTGATTTTGCGTCAAAATAACGATAGTCTCGTCTAGCCTTAGAAATATTTAAACATTCCATTACAACTAAAAAATCTAAAAAGTTTTTAAATAAATAAAACCTTTTCATTATATGATCTATAAACTCAAGCAAAATCTTTATATGGAAAAAAAAAGTTAATCACAAAAATATTAAAACAAAATTTTTAGTGAGACAAAGTTTCCGACAAAAATGAGAAATTTAAATACTTAAAATAATAGTGAAAATTAAGTGTAGGGAATAGAGACCACAAATAATCTATAGTTCGATCTATATATGATCTACAGTTTTACCTACAACATCTAGAAAATTCGTTTCCATTTGAAGTATTCATTCTTGCAAACTAAATATCACTTTTTTACAAAAATATGATTTTTGACGTTTAAGTTTTATTAATAATAAGTTCTTATTAAAAAGCGCTCACATATCAAATTTGACATTTTAAAACAGATGAGCTATTTCTGTATAACTATTATGCATTAATTTTTAAAAAATGTTAGAGTTTTGTAGGTAATTGTACTTTTTAAAAAAAGTAGTTAGAAAAGCGAAATTATCGGAAAAACGTCGGTTTACTTTTATAAATTATTCAGAAAAATGACGCTAAAAATTATAGCTCGCATAGGTTTTTGTTTACTTGCGGCGCCTCAGATCTATAACAATGGGTTAAACGTCCATCTATTAATACGTCCTTGCTTTTACGTAAAAATAAAATGACAGCTTTCCAAATATTGTGCATTTTTTACAGTGCAAGTAAAAAATAAGGCCAACAGTTTATAAAGCTAGTTAATATGAACAAGTTAATTATTCAAGCTATGTTAATATGAGAACAAGTTAATTATTCAAGCTATGTTAATATGAACAAGTTAATTATTCAACATTTATTTTATAAAATTCTCAGCAAAAGAAATTACTCTAAATATTACTAATTGACACAAGATACACATTTAAAATTATTCAATTCCTTTTTCAAATACGTTATACTCAATATGACAGTTAGAAGGGTTTGCTTGTATTCTGGATGATCTGGACTTGTACATCGGCCACTGAGTTTCGAATTCATGATAACGAAATTTTATAGATTGTTCACTGTATCGTTCAAGTGAGCATCTTTTCAAGTCAATGATTTCTTTCACATGGGGAAAAACAGCATGAAATTTGGGGAGTGGCTGTATCAATTCGTAGAGCTATATATAACTTCTCGAATTGGTTGATCTTTTCACCGAAATCATCCATAAGCTGGTTTCCAAAGCATTTTCTGAAAGCAGCAATTTTCCTAAAAACTCACAAAGCTGCATCACTTTCAGCCATTTGTTGTATCAAATCCACATTTTTGTTAAGCTTGTGACAAGAATTTCCAGATAGCTGACCACCATGGTATGACTTTAGGTGAATGTGAAGTGCTGAAGCCAATTGGTTTGCTTTTGGCCAAACACCTTTCAGTTGTTAAAGCAAAGGATTCACAACTCAAGAAGAAGATAAAATTCCATCAGTGGTATGACTTCAAGAACAAGCATTTCATTTGGGTTGGAAAGAACTGAAGGATACACAGCATTCCCAAAGTTTTTTGCCTTTCGTGCATCACCTCCAGAAGTAATAAACTGTTAGTATGATTTACAAAGTTTTAACAGGTTCGCAAAGTCTCACAACTTTCAAGAAATTTGGAGTCAACATCACACCATGTGATGTAAATCACATGATGTGATGCAAGTCAAGAAGAATATTTCCCAGCTTCAGATTACAAACAAGTGAAAATCTGACATCCTAGATGGCAAGGAGTGACCATACTTTTTTTTATATTTTCATAGTTTTCTGGCAGGTTTGCACAAACTGCCAAAAGAATCTGTGACTTTGTCTTAAAAGGAAGAGATTTTCCACCATCAGGGCTTGTGCAATTAATATCAAGTGAGACTTTTAAAAAAACAACCTCCCCAATCAATGCTAACTTTTACAAAGTAATCTACACAGATTTTTTTTGCAAAGCAGAGTTTTGTTCAAAATATCATCGAATTTCTTGCATTAGACAACTACATATTCAGTTATTAACTGCGCATTGCGGCTATTCCACGTTGTCAAGGCGTGACATTTGACTTTTTTGGGGGAAAAATATCAGATTTAAGCGCATTTAAAATTAAAAGTTTAACAATTAAAGATACTAAAAAATTCTCATATACATTACAGTTTCTAAAAAATAAATTAGTTAGATTTAATATTTTATAGACTTTTAGGTATACGCATTAAAAGGTTGCTTCACGACGTGACAAAAATTATCTAGCATTTTCCGTCATTAGAAGTAATGACAGTAGTTTAGCTCTTGTGGATATTTTGAAATTTTTTTTGTTATGTCTTGGATACTTAAAAGGTGTTATAATAGTTTCATAACATTTTTAAAAATGTTTTATAAATTTAAATGGAGACGCCACATAAAATATCAACGGAGTTTACGTCACACCGTGGTGTCACGGTGTGACCAGTGCAAAATCTTTGAATATTATGACAATAACATCATTAAAAAGACAGTTGAAACAAAAGAAATCAATTTATTCGGATTTTTATAACAATAACTTTTAACAAAATAGTTTATTTACAACAATTTCAAAAAAGGTCTTGTAAAATTCAACTACGTTTTTTTAATAAATTTTATCTAGTTAACTAAGCATGATGCACTTGAATAAGGTTTCATTTTCATTTTATCGTTAAACTGTTTTAAGCAATGAGCACTAAATATTCCAGGCGTTTTACAAGCATTATTAATGATGTTATGAAGTTCTATGCTATCAAAAGCAGTTTTAATTTTTTCAGCAGCAACCATGAAAACGTTTTTTATTTAACTTTTGTCTCTGACGGCTTTATAAAATGTTGTTCCATTATTAATCAGAGCTTCTCTTCGAACAATTTTTTGTGTTGCTAATCTTTTTATGGTTGCTCCTATATCATCGCATGGTCCTTTACCATGAGAGGTTGCAAAGTAATTCCAACAGATTTTAGTTTTGTGTTTTCCTTCAAGCCATGGAATTGAAGCTACTATGTAACAATTAAATCGATGAAATGCTTTGAGTGACAAGATAATGTTTTCATGTTTTTGACGTGAACAAACATTTCTAGGCATTAAGCTTGATAAAAGTATATGACCTGGTCTCAAACTAGCAAATTTGGAATTACTGATTGAAAAAATAATGTATTCGTTTTTAAATATTTGATATGCTTCACTTATATTCATTGTTAAATACCTTTTTTGCATTTTCTTTTTTTCTTTATTACTTCTTAAAATAATCGTCTCTTATTCCAGGTGCATCTTGTTCAAAAAAACTAATGACGCATAGCTTCGTTTTATCATTAAGAGCATTAGGTCCATGTGTTGGTTGCATATCTGGTAAATATTTGTTTGAATTCAGTTTGAATTGCAAGTTGTATAACAATAGTTGCTTTTTTAAAAGGAGAAGTTGGAAGAGCACGTATTGCTTTTTTAACAGCTTTATCAAGTGTACAAGATGATCTGTAAGCAGGAGAGATGTTAGATGTTATTTTGGATGAAGAA